AATCAGGGTCGGAAATTCTAAATAGCCAAAAACGTGCGATTTTCGAGACGATTCTCAAATGGAACGCAAAAACCGTCGGTAAAATTTGAACGGCGCTTTGCAAGGAGATGCGACTGGTCATGATGCATTAATGTATGCATGGATTTCTCGATGTCTCGCTTAAAACGGATTTGGGAAGCAAACGTGAGGCGCAACGGCTTTCCACTACCTTGAAGTGATTGACATGAGCGACGGTGCTGTGACGGTCGATGAATACTTCGATTTGGGTCTGTCCCCTCTTCAGTTTTCACGCAATTAGACGAGATTTTTGCAAAATCTATTGCTCATCCCGGATCCGCGGTGGCATCATCATGCATCTTACACCATTATATTAAATAAAATCTAAGGGAAATAATGAGACAAATGTCAAAGTTCTGTGTTGAATGATACCGAATATTAGGAAAAACCTCTGAAGAGACTAATCGAAATCGTGACTTTTGAAGCTATTTATTGTCCACACCGGTGAACCCGGAGTGACTCTTGGGCTCTCGTTCGAGGTCCCTAGAAACAATTATAAAGCGAAACGGTCAAGTTCTATGGGTTTTTTTTGGGCCAACCAATGGGAAGTAACTGGGCGGTCATCATTCAATAAGAAATTTCGAATCAGGATTTACACTTTGTGGTGACTTTTGCAAAGAATACTAGTGCCCCTTCATCAACCATGCTTATAGCGACTTTTATCGCTTCTTTTGTTAACTGTTTTCTCTTATTATCCCCATTAAATTTATTTTTTCCATGAAGCATTGGACCAGACGCTTCGAAAAGGTGTCTTCTAGTTTCCAAAGCAACTGGCTATGCAATTATTATCTAAAATATAATAATAAGCCTGTGGATATCGTTTTCATTCGATCAAGCAAAGTACATCAACGGTTTCGACGGACTGATGGAAGATTCGGAGCCTTCGATGTGGATTCATGGATATATGCAATTATTATCTAAAATATAATAATAAGCCTGTGGATATCGTTTTCATTCGATCAAGCAAAGTACATCAACGGTTTCGACGGACTGATGGAAGATTCGGAGCCTTCGATGTGGATTCATGGATTCTCCCCGGAGGCAAGCCACCATGAAGGGTCCCGAACCCTCTCTTCTGATCCACTCCTCATCTCTCTCCGTCGAGGAGATTTCTAGAAGTTCCACCATCACTCAGCCGCCTTGTCCTTTACATCTAACTTGGAGAAAGTAAGAAGTAACTATATTTTGGATGCCTCACGTGGTTTCCGAAGTTTCGCACACGACGTGAAAGTAGACCGCTGAACGCTCCTCATTCCCCTCTTTACGACTATAACGGTCAGAGAATTCTAACATTAGTTACTGGAATATACGCAAAAGAAAGACACGTGGATCGAAAATATGTGATGGGAAAAGATGCACGTGTACGTTTGTGTTATCGCAAAGGTTATATAAATGATTTTTGTCCCATGTCGGTCTCCAAGTACTTTCATTTATCGATAAAAAAAAAGAATGCGTTGCGATTATTACTTCAACATTAGTTCTATATCCACCATGAACGAATGCATTTACTCGCACATATTAAAATACGTCGATTTTGTCTCCTATCGAAACTCATAGTGGATGAAAGGGACTAGGGCTCCAACAAAGGTATTCTTTAATCCTGAATGACTGTACTTAGATCCATATTCAAAACGTCGCAATCACTCAGCAAGTACTTTTAGATTTGGCTGGGTTCTAGGACATTAGTTTGCCATGAACGTCCACGCTTCAGTAATAGATATCTCTGGTAGGTGAGTAGATTCCATCCTCATTATTGCGAGTATATGCCAAAAGACATAATTCGAACCCGGACCCACTTAAAGGGAGTAAGAGCTTTCACCGTTCAATTGACGGCATTACTCCGTAGAGGGAACATTTGAGGGACCAAGCACGTAGTGTCATATATACATATATTCAGGATATCCAAAAGGAACGAACTTACTAGTTTATGCCATTCCCATTTCCCTCGAATGAATACTTATGATTATACACGGGAGAAGTCTCAAACCTGCGATCCACTCAAGAGCAGATAATGCTCTTTATAGTAATTGCTCCATTCATTCCCAATTGCTTCGACTCCATTCTTGGCTTCCATAGTAGTGATTTTCAAAGAAACTTGCTCGGCGACGAACTTCAAACAATCTCGAGGTTCTAGCTGCCGTATTTCATTTGCACTTTTGCTTTCATATGAAATTAATGTCTCCAAATGCGATCAAGTAGAGTACCTACTTTCAGCTAAAACTAAACAACTTTGACGTTGGTGAAAAACCGTGTATAAAGGCTGCTGTAAGAAGTGAGGGCCTTACGGCTTTTACTTAACGTTCGGTAGATTTTCTTTGATTCAATCAAATGGTTACATAACCATTTTTGGCGGCACGTGTTGATCCAAAAGTCCGAATCACGTGCATCGATATCGATGATAAATTTAACCTCAGTGCCAACTGACGTGTTTCTCATGGCATGCGCATGTCTAACAAACACTCCGTGCTCGCGTTAACGTATTATATAATCGGACGCGAGGCGCTCACGTCTCCTAGCTAGTTTCGAGGAATTATGGAGACCTGATGATCCGACATCCACTCGATACCTGTTGAAGCAACTGAAGCGATTTAGTTGGGCGTGGAAATCCAGTTGGAAATCTTCATGTTGGAATGTCCGAAATTGAATAAAAGAGGAATCAAACTAGCATCCGTGCGGCACTAGTAGTAGTACTTCTGTAGTAGAGGAGAGTTCGTTAACAAAGCGGAGGTTTCTGATAAGGCCGTATTATCGCTTTCTGACAAAGGGTAAAAGACGGGCAGCAAGAAAAATAAAGAAAAATCAGGAAAATCTATACACTAGAGAAGAATGTACTAGAACAGCGGTCTTCCACCGTTGTTTCCTCTTATCATCAGATTCTTTCTCGTTTTGCCACCGGTATACTCAAGGGCATATTATCGGCACGAGATAAAATTGTTCACTTTGTTCCAGAAGATTCCATACCATTTTTCCCTCTCTCTCCTTTCTCAAAGAGTCTGCCAGGGTCGGTTAAGTGATTCAAAGGAATGAATGAATGAAAGAAATTATGAGAATAACATACATTCCAGTCAATCCCTTACATACATCCTAAAGATGTGGATCCTACCGGTTTTTCACTAATCGTTTCATTGCAGTTTTCTCAACAGAGAGATATAATTGTTTTTCTATTCCCTGCATCAGGCAGGAAATTAGTGCGGAAACAAGTTCACTTTGAATCAAAGGTTAATAAATCAATGTTGATTCCATGTGGATACCACCACCGTGAATAGAGAGCTTCATTGACTCAACGTTGGCCCAATGTGGGTGTATAAACGGTGACGGTCGTCGCATTGAATTAATGTTGGTGTAACATGTAGGTATGAACTTTAAAATTTTCCAAGGATGCTCTATGACTGCAGGAGACGCACATGGGCATTCCATATTTATTTTCTTTTGACTTTTGATAGAAATAGTGACTTACAGCATCGAATAATGCGTTTTTATGGTGCTCCGATGCTACTTGAGTCACGAAGTCTGGAGACAGGGAGAAGGGCATATGGGCATATTGCAAAGAGTATGGATGGACAAAAGATGCCGTTTGAATTTTGTTTATAGCATTTTGTAGATTTAGAGAAATGCATTTTCATTATTGGGGCCCCCATGATATGATACCCTGTATATACGTATTTTCATCCTTCATTGACGTTCACGTATATTTTTTTTAAATCTGTACATTTTCGGTGGGTTCGCAGCCTTTATTCGATGAAAGTGGAAGGAAAATCCCTTCCTAAGACTGGGAAATCATTCGGGTAAATACTAAAATGTTGTCCCCTTCTTATTACTTCGGTCAACCGAGAAATAATTGCTGAGGCTCCAAAGTCCCGCACGACCCCCCTCGGACTCCCTCCAAATTGAGTCTCCATTTCCCAAACTTTTCTGAGATTTGTGTCAGCGATGATGTTCAGCAATGTTCAGAGGTATAAGGGTTTTTCCTAGGGCCATCAGTTTCCATAGTGCAGGCTGCATAGATGATTTCTCACTTGGAGGGGGAGGGGAGGCCCCTTCATGAAGAAACAGGGCTTCCCTTTGCGACTGAGGCGACTTAAATTTCCGTTCAAGGAAGTGAAGGAACTCGAGGGATGTAGCAGCAGTCACAAACGCGTCTTTAAAATCCTCGTTATGATACGTGGTGTAGACTATTTTGAGTAGGTCTTCTTTCCCGTGATGGGATTTTCGAAGCGAATCACCGTGCAATCCTTCTGTCAGCTGATCTCGTAAATTGCGGACAGAAGTCATGTCCGAAAATTGTTAAAAGTACAGGAAATTTCTTCGCAGGTAATCGAAGGGTCTTTCACGAATTGTAACGAAGCTTCTTAGTATTTCACTCCAGGAACAAATCAGCAACAACATCGTGCTGCTCGATCAGAAACGAACATAGAGATCGAATTAAACGAGTGGAATACTCTGCAGCATCTCAAGAGCACGTCTTGGGTCTGGTAGTAGATGGGAATCATTAGATGCCTTCAGTAGAGAGGACAAACTAGTGGTAAGTACATTCATAAAAGGTGTAAGGAATTATTTATTCATTAAACCCTGATGATAATCTGGAAGGATGCGAAAAGAAAATTCGCTGATTATTGAGGAGAAAAGCGTATAGACGACTACGATTACATTATCTGTCACCAGAGTTAAAAACAGAAAAGTGGAAAATACATAGAATGCAGACCAGTCTTATCGCATCCGCAATAGGACGTCAAAAGCAATATATCTGAGACGAACACCTGGCACGATTCCCCAGGTTGTCACCTTTAAAAAGAGGCCCACTGCATGCGTCCGCACCCATTCTTCAGTCGTCCTGAAAAGCGTCAAGTGAGTTCACTAAAATTCCTCAACACGTATCCATTTTCACCTTGACCTTCCCTCCGGAATTCTCTATTAGCATGAAGTGGCAAGTATTTGCGGCAGGAGTATTCCTGCTCCTGTTGGATGGAGCTCGGGGAAACTTTGAGCCTAATTGCGATGGGAAACAAGTGATCGTTCATCTATTCGAATGGAAATGGACGAGCATCGCCGAGGAATGCGAGAGGTTCCTTGGTCCTGCTGGATTCTGCGGCGTGCAGGTAAAATTGTATATATACAAGTGACTTAAGACTTATGACACCCATTTTAACGTACAAGCGAGTTTGTTCGCCATTCGGGCAAACAAACTCGCTGTTTTCGCGCCTTGTACGCTGAATTGTCGAAGATTGTGATCCATTCATTCATTAATTTCCGAGGTGGCAAATTTTCGAAGTGGCAAAAACGCATTAAAAGCATGTCCCTTTTGAAACACGTTCTGTGAGAGACTGAACCAATATTTTCATAGAAATAATTACTTTGATGATTCTTTGTGTACCTAACTTCAAATCTCTTTTTAACCTGCCCTGATAAGACATATTTAAAAAGTAGGACATGCACTCAGCAATCGAACAAGTACTTCTGCGCCAATTTTCACATTTCAATAGCTTTCTCTTTTATTAGAAAAAACAATATTCGGGAAAATGCGCCTCTTGCAAAAAATTCGGAGGTATTGAACCTACGGGTATTGAACCCGGGCCCCATGATTATTGGCCAGATCTGCTATCACTACACAACCGAAACCAAGACATCCAGTCAATCCTCTCGATGCCATCCTCATCCGTCACAATATATATATATTTTTTTAATTTTTCTCCCCCAAAAAAGTGTACCCCCAGAGCATGTACCTCCAAAGTCGGATTCTTTCTGAACTCCGCATCCCTAAAGGTGCATGTGTACCGATTTTCAGATTTATAACTTCTCTGGAACATGGTTAGAATTAGCGTCAGTCACGATCGTCTATATATATTAGATTAGATTCATAATTTTTGTGTGGGGCTGGAATGAAATATGTATGGTTGCACCGAATAGGTGTCGCCGCCACAAGAGCACGTTATTATGACGACGACTGCGATGCGCCCCTGGTGGGAGAGATACCAACCCGTGAGTTACAAGCTCACGTCCAGGAGCGGAACGGAAGAGGAATTCGTGGACATGGTCGAACGATGCAACGCCGTGGCTCAGTCTTAGATGCACCTGCGATATAACTTAGTGTACCGGCCAGATCCGTTAAGGCCTTAGCCCAGACGGCCGAGGCTTAAGCTGCGGCTACGAGTAATGAAGGGGCCTCAGGGCAAGAGTCGTCTAGATTTCACGCCTCGCGACCTTTGTCCCTCTGCTGACGGTATCATCGTTGGGGTTCCTCTATTTCCCCTGTCAGAAAATATTAAGAAGAAAGCGAAAATATATGGAGACCGTGATATTCTTTATATCCTCAGGAATCGTCGACGACTACTCGGACGAAGTCAACGTGCGGAATTGCTACCTGTATGGTCTAGTCGACTTGTACGGAGCATCAGAATCTGTGAGAGAAAAGCTGGCGGAATATCTTAATCACCTGCTGGAAATAGGAGTTGATGGCTTCCGACTCGATGCATCTAGGCACATGTGGCCCGAGGTGAGACGTTCCGTTCTTCTCCGACCGTCGAGAAGTTTCTTGAATATATGCGTGCTATTTCCCAATGTGGACGATAGTATGAATCCCAATGTCGGACTACTACAAAAACCGTTTCCGAAATATCAGTAGGTCAAATTTTTCCCATAGAGACTGAAATTATAGTTATTGCAAGATTTTCCAATTCTTCTCATGCTATTTGTTTAAATTCTATAAGGAAGTGTGAAATGGAAGATCTCGAATCTATTATTACGAACCATTGTAACAAGTATATTTAAATGAAATACCCAAATCGTATTGCCTTTCATTTTCCCTAAATGTTCATCCATGAATTTTCGTGGTTACTTTTGAAAGAGTAGGGACTCCTTTTTCCCCAGGTTGCTCGAAGAAATGGAATTTCTCACTAAATGTGACTTTCATCCTTAAAGTAGACAAAAAAATGCATTGAATGTGATAATTGAACGATTTATTTTTGACTAGATGTTTTGGCATTTGAAGGAGGCGAATTTAATAAGTTTATTCCCACATAATTTAAAATGTGACTTATTTCGGATGCAGGACCTAGAGGATATTCTAGACGAACTCGAATATCCGGCTTTCCACTACCTTGAAGTGATTGACATGAACGACGGTGCTGTGACGGTCGATGAGTACTTCGATTTGGGTCTGTCCCCTCTTCAGTTTTCACGAATATAACAATTTGGCTAGAGGGCTTTGTTATTACGCACTCATTAATTAAGTGTCATTGAAAGTCATCTACTTTGCCTTTTTCTGGTCGTTTCAGAATTAGGGAATTCGATTATATCGAATAGGAGTTTTCATAGCTCATACCCTTATAACTCTAAGGATATTCGCAAAACAAAAAAGAACTGTCTGATTTGGTTATTTTTGTGAATATAGGTCGCGTGACGGAATTTCGGTATTGCTCAAATGTCGCCAGGGGAATCAAAGATTTCAGCCAGTCGGAGGATTTGATCGATCTCGACTCGGGGATGTGTCCATCCGACAAGGCCTTCGTGTTCGTCGACAACCAGGATAACCAGAGGGAACCAGGAGGTGCCCACAACGTCCCACCTTGCACTTGCCTTAGCTCGAACGGCATCACATTGTGATTCTCTTTCAGCCGAGGCGATCTCCCATAAAGAACCTTTCCTTTACAAGCTGGCCGTGTCTTACATGCTCGCCCATCCGTACGGCTTCACTCGGATCATGAGTAGCTACGACTTCCAGGAATTTAGCGATCCTCCCCCGCACGATGAGGATTACAAGTAAGCGAGCAAATCAAGTTCATTCCCAAAATTCGAATCGTTCTGGGGATTTATTTTGCAGTCGTGGAAAAAAGAATCTACTAATATTATCGCCTATTCAGATAGAATCCGTGATTCCTGATTTATTGATTGCTTCAGTAAAGTGTAAGGTATGAAAGAAATCCATTTTCTCCCACGAAGCACCCTGGACGTGCCGATCAACCCGGACGGAAGTTGTGGGAACGGGTGGGTGTGCGAACACAGATGGCCAGTCATCACCCGAATGGTAACAAATGTTTGAGTGATCGGTCCTT